ATCTCGCCAGCCCAACTGAGAATATTTTTTAAAAGTTTTTTGAAGTAGAGTTTCTTTGATAACAATACAGAATAAGGAACCCTTTTTGTGGTACTAGAGATTAAACCCAGGGCATTCACACTTAGATATATCTCTACACCATTTAATTCTTTTAAAATTTTGAGACAGGGTCTTGCTATGTTGCTAGACTAAGCTAGAATTTGTGGTTGTCTTGCCTTGGCCCCCACAAAGGATGGGATTACAAGCATATACCACCACGTCCAACTAAGATCAACTTTTTAAGTCATATCTCCAAGTCTTGTAGTTCGGCAAGTTATGTAAGCGACCGAAGAAACGTTCCTTACAGACAGAAAGAAAGCATTCCAGCATCAGTCATGTAGGACTGTTTAAAAAACATGTTAAGATGCCTACTAAAACTTTTGTGAAAGTTCCTGCATTATTAGGAAGCAAGCAACTATTTTCAAAGAAAATAACATTCCTCAATGCACTCTCATTTGTTTCTCAGTCCCAATAGAGACAGGTTTCCTTGAGGTCATAATTGAAATTTCCACAGTCTGATTCCAAGAACCACGCTAGAGAGCTTTGCAATCAGTAATTCCTGAAATCGCACTGACAGTCAGCTCGCTAGTTGCTGAACACTGCTAACACTGCAGAACCTACAAACTTAGGTAAACACAATTTCACTGAAATATGTAACTCAATCCTGGCAGTGCTCAGGAGCTGCTCATGAATTAAAATGGGCACTGGGTCATATGACAAAAGATCAAGATTCTTTGCCTGACCAAACTTTAGTCAAGGTTCTGCACCTTTCCTAAGCCCGTCTGTGCACATCCTAATAAAATCCGGTTTTAGGAGCATCCCCTCCTAGTATCAGAGTAGGCTCCTCCTCTTCCACCCTCCCACAGGTCCTGTCTTAATGCCCTGGCTTATCTTCCATCCGGGTAGTTGGTTTAGCCAAAATCTGCTTAGCCCTCATGTTTCTGCTTAGTAATTTTCTTCCCACCAACCCTGTACTGCTTCTTGGCCATAAGTTCCCACTTATCATTCTCCTCTCAGAGGCAAGCCCAGTCTCTCCCTTCCAATGCAAGACCCTGTTGCAGTGACCCCCATACCTACCATGGTACTCCTAAATTAGCTTTCCTTACTGTGTTTTAATGACTTTCACTAAATGCTATTTTTCTTTAACACATATGGAAATATCTCATAATCTGGGCAGAGTGCAGAAAAATCCATAAGGATATGTTTTTCCATAAGTTATGAACACCAAAACTTTTCCTGTATGTTTACACCTTCTCAGTGTTAGTTGCTGTCTTACTAAGACACTAACTTTAGCGATCCATTTACAAGAAACTCAGATGTTTGTTCCATGTAAAGCACTATGCAGCCACCAATGTTGCTATAATAATTTCAGACCATTCTACATTTTGGTTTCTCAAATCTTGCTCTTAGAAAGATGTAGAGGAAGAGATAATTTGAATACAAAATTTAGAATCTATGTCACACATTTAAGAATGCTACATTCTTTTTGTGGTTCTCAAAAGAAAGTGACTATCTACCCGCCAAGAAAATGCCCCCACCCACCCCGTGGGTAAATGTTTGTCACATAAGACATCCATATCTAAGTAAGACAGGATGAGAGGAATAAAATATGTGAAAAAGAATTATATCAGCCCTTAATGGCCCTAAAACCATACATTCTGCAATTAACTCACACAGCAAAATAATAAACACACTTATATAACTTTAAATTGTAATTACTGAATTTTAAAATATTTCATGCAATAATACAGTGTGACAACTAATGATGATAATTACCTGAAAACAGTATAGCAAATAGTGTCATTAGCCTTTTCAAATGACTTTGGCATTTACAAAAACATTTTAGAATTTGATTACTGTTTCTCACTCAAAAACTTTCTTACAATATAAAAATCAGTTTGAAGCAATTTGTCAGGATTCCTGACCACATAAGTCTAAAATTGAGCTAATAGCAGGTAGCACAAGTAAAGATTATCTTAATCTCTATGATGGTCTACACCTTTTAACATCTGTTATAACCTGGCATGATTATGACCATAAAGAAAAGGTTTACTGACTCTGAAAGCAAATTACAGATACGATGGTTCTAACTTATCCTCTTTTAGTAGTCTCCAAAGCATATAAATTTTCAATAAACCACTGTGTACTAAGTGATAGCACAGCTTTCAACAAATATTTACTGTGCAGCATTTGCCACCTGTCCACTTCAAAGAAAGACATCACTATACCAAGTAGTCATTTTGAGAACCATAACCCTGTTTTTTGTAGGAATCAATGGCACTAATGTGCATCTAATGTGCATATGACTTTCCTGTCAAAGGAGGGGGAACCACCCAGGAGCAATTGAGCTTAACTAGCTTCTGGATGTGTGCTACTGATTCAGCCCTGTAGCACAAGCTATACTTCGTGAGCCTAGTGCAATACCTCGCACACACTTTTCTCTTGCGTTCTCTAAAGCAGTCATCCTCCAAGTGTGGTCCCCAACCTCCGGGGTCAGCATTATCTGAGAACTTGTGCAAGGTAAAATCCACAGCTTCCCCCTCGGAAGCTCTAAGGTGGGGCCTAAAAGTGTGTTTTAAGCAGCCCCGCAGGTGACCGTGATGCCAGGAGAGGTTTGAGAATCTTTGCATTAATGCCAAAAGGTGGGCTGTTGCCCTTAAGACAAGTTTCTGTCCTTTACTTGGGAGCAGGAGATTTTGTAGTCCTTTATCATCACAGACCTAGAGAGCATACAAGTATTCTTTACAGATAGCACATTTTTTAAAAGTGTAGCTAATAAAAATCTTAGACTAAGAAGTATTGTCAATTTGTATTAACATAATCATGTGCATTTCCAGTGAGATAGTGAGGTTAAGCTTATAGCCTAAATCGTTTGATAATAACAATAAGCTTGTCTTCTGGATGGTTAACAACCTAAGTTTGCAGGCCAAAATTAGAGAAAAAGGAGGGCTACAAGGAAAGCCAACATTTTGGCCCTAGCCTTCTAAGGTCAATTAAGACTCAGGACATATGAGAACTTGTACTGTAACGTCATGTACCTCGGTAGTGTCCCAAATTTTCTGATCAAGGAGATTATGGGGCCAAAGAGGAAGTGATCAATGACGTAGAGTGTGCCTAAGGAGAGTCACATGGGGAGAAGACACTCTCTCAGGCTTTCACAGAGAGCACATTGGCCAAGCAATGGCCGTGACTCATCCACATGGCTGACACTGACAAAGGTTCTACAATCTGAGGTACAGGATCTCAGGATAAATCCTGAGGGCATTTCACTGACCTTCTCAGACCAAAAAGCTACAACTCTTGTTGCACAGGTCCTGCTTTACCTTGGTCTTAACCATCCAGTAGAAAAGTATGAAGACGAAATATAGGAAATAAAGCCATGCTGTTAAGTTGAGCTGTGGGGGACTCAGGTCAATAATTTCTGACATTGCCAGTTAAACAGAAGACCCAATGCTATTATGGGCTACTGGACTCTTTTAGAATATTTTGCTGAGTTTACACACCGATAATATTCAATAACGGAACTTTAAAAAATGGGGTATAACTATGAATGTCCATTTTGTATCTGTGTATTCAAAGTGGTTGGGATAGATATATAGTTGCATTCTCTTAATGAATAGAATGATTTGTTCTAATGGTGTTTGTAAATAGGATCACAAGTCCGCATCTTGTACAGCAATTAACCACTAAGAAGAATATATACAGTGTGTTATTTGTTGAAACTGTACTTGCAATTTGATTTGAAACTGTCTCATTGCTATTTATCAATAAAACTTTGAATAAAATAAAATAAATAATCATGTGCATTTCACTAAGGTTTGGGCAGTAAAGAAAAGGAAATGTGACTCATGAAAACAGCATGCTATTGCCACGGTGAAAACAGGTACTGTCTTACTCATCATCATTTCTTTAGATTTTACCCTGTGACCTAATGAAAGAAAACTGAGGTGATCCTACCTTTGCCTGTAGGAATTCTGGGTCTGGAACTTTTGACCTCTGCACAGTTAGTGCCACAACCACATAACGTGATGAATGAGTGAGTGAACAGTTAGATGACAGATGGTTTACCACAAAGGCAACCAGAGGAGTGTATGCCGAAGAATTCATGGAAGAAACAGGCGGATTTTGCCAGCACCCACCCACTGTAGCCTGAGTGGCAAGAAAAGCTGAAGAGAAAACCCAAAGAATTGGAAGAAATGGTTGGTTGCTGTCATTGTTTTGGTGCTGGAAACTGAACCCAGGGTCTCACACATGCTACAGGAATACATTTTATTAGAAAGATGTGGGCCTTAACTCTTAGACACATTACTAATATCAATAGAAAAGCTTGGGGGAAAGCTTGCTTCTTCTTCTACTAAGAAAAAAATCAGAGTCAAATTTATGGTATAATTGTCATTCAATAATTGCTTTTTAAATTTTTTTCTTAATTTCATTAAAACCATGTATTTTCACTTACTATTTATTATTATGTGTATCATAGGGCCTGGGGTGGAATTTGCCTATTTGCTTTAGGGTTTCAGGAAAGCCCACATTTGTGGTCCAAAATGATGTAATTATTGCATTGCAGAAGCCTTCCCCTCTATAATGTTAATCCTTTGGGAATTTGTTATATTTAAGAAGAAAAAATACTTTCATAGAGCAATACAGGACTTCCATGAATTATTCATATTTCACAGATGTCACTGTTATCTGAAAAAAAATCACTTACTATTCTTATTTTTAAATACTTAAAGATTATCATCTTACCACACTTGTGAAGTGCTTGACTATATTAAAAAGGAGATTATGATTTATTAAAAATAAGAAATCCAATTGCGTGAGTTAAAAGAATACCTTGGTTAAAAAAAGTAAGAGAAGCATTTGTGTTAGACTTATCTTCTAAGCAGCTCACTACACCCATGCAGCCAACTTCTGGAAAGCATTCTCATTTCAATGCATGGAGAAAAATCTGAACTTCCTACCTGAGACTGGGCATTAATGTTGGCTCCTTCCTTAACGAGGACTTTGACAACTTCTGCTTGTCCAGCCAAGGACGCAATATGAAGGGCAGTGTTTCCCTTCTGCTTTGGAGAAACAAAACGGAAAGTGTTAGAGGCCTTCAAATACTGTAGCAATCGAGCTGTGCAGGCATTTTTAAGCTTTGCTGATATTTGAACTGATTCAACCACATCATTTTATGAAGACAGCAGCTGACCATGTAAGAGATTTCTTAAACTATCAACAAAATGGTCACCTCATGTACATTTATATTTGTATTATTGTTGAGCATCTTTCATAATTCTGGTCTAGTATTAAGAACATAGGAAGATTGAGTTCTGAATCAAAAAAATCTGAAATATGTGTCCATGAATGTGTGTAAGTGACAAGATCTCATAGAATTCCCAGGAGCCAGAAGTTCTACGGCAAGATAATACTAACTTCACAAAAGTTTACTGAAACATCAAGTTTATTTCACCTTTCGAATAAACCTAGGAATTCTCAGTGACAGAGAAGCTGTCATTGCTCAGAGTTGTCTTCTGTCTACAAAGCCAGACAGTTAGTAGTTGCTCAAAATATTTTGGGAATGCAGAAATAAATTTGTATCAGTCATAAGCGTACCAATCATTTTTACCATCTGCTACATAAAATTTATCATTCACAACCAACGACCAATGGAAAATGATTTAAAACCTTTGTGAAAATAAATGTAAGCCAACAGATTAAAAACTATTTGTGATGTGATTAAAACAAATAAAGAAAATTGAAAAATAAACAGAAATATGAAAATTCTAAGGCATAAGATTCAGATTCTAGTCCTAGAGTTTAAAGAGAAGGAAAAACAAGAATAATAATAAACATTTAAACAACCAAAAAATGGTTGACTTAATGAATACCTTAATGTTAATACAGGCAACTCTGAGGAAACAAAGAATTTGATCTACATCAAATCATCTTTTGTTCAATTTTTTTGTTATAAATTTAGCTTTTTTAAAAAAAAAAAAAAGAAAGAAAGAAACTCCACAGTGGTTTGTTTTGCAGTACCAGGGATTGAACTTGGGACTTTGTGCTTGCCAAGTAGACTTATACCGCTGAACTATATTCCTGGCTCAAATCATTTTTTATACACACTTGTTGAACATTTACTTGCTGTGTCAAAGAAATATTCATGAAAACATTTCTTCTTTCCTTATGTTCTTTTCATTTATTTATTTATTTTTTTTATTTTTAGGGAAGGGTCTACAGGGTGATCAGGGTCTCACTACTAAAGTGAACTCATAGTGATTCTCCTGTTTACAGCCTTCTAAGTACTGGGATTACAGGTGCACGCCACCACACTCAGTCTCAATTGCCATCTCAGCATGCCCCAGGGGCAGGGCCAGCATGGCAGGTCCAGGGATCTAACCCCTAATCCCTGGCCCCTGTGCCTGCTTACAATTGCTTTAATCTGCCGAGCTATTTGGCCGGCCCTCTTTATGGTTTTTTTTTTTTTTTTCATTTTTATTTATTTACTTATTTTTTGGTGGAGCCGGGCATTGAACCCAGACCCTTGTGCTTTCCAGGCAAGTGCTTATTTTACTGAACTGCCTCCCCAGCCCTTCCTTATGTTCTAAACAAAGAATTTAATTAAGCTTAAATTTTAACTTGTTAATTTTAACAAATCACAAAGAGTGATTTGTTAGCTTTTGTCTTTAAATTTCTCATAGAATTTCTCTTTATTATAAGGAGGACCGATTATACATTTTGGTAATTAGGCATCAAGATGCTAGAAATCCAGGTTAATAGGCCATATTTCTAGTATAGTCACAAACTCTTTTTTCTACCCTACATGAGACTAATTCCCCAGCCACAGGCTTGAGTACCTAACTTCCCACTCCTTCTCCTACACACCACGCCTCCAACCCTGATCAGAAGACTTGGTACTGACCAGTTACTACATTATAGCCAGCATACTGGTGATTTTTCTAAAAAGTCTATTGTTTATTAAATGAATCTTAAATAAATTCAAATATATTGCATTAAAGCAACAACAACAAGGGAAGAGTAGTCTCTAGTTACACAAAGCATGCTGTATATTCCTTTACAAATGAATCTTAATTCTTTAGAAATACACATAACTATGATAACATTTGATCTCATCCTAGTAATTCAATTACCAAAAAGCTCTTTTCCAAGTATTCCAAATTCTCATACCAAGGAGGATGAATACATTAAAAGATTTATCAATTTATCTTAAAGAGTGAAAATTATTTATTTATTTCCATTGAGAAGTTATCATATCAATTTGTTGATTAAAAATGAATTGACCTTAGGAAATTAGTTGCTATTACCCACAAAGGACAATGTTAATCTAGTCCTCTTTGTGAATTAGAAGAAAGACAATGTATTAAAAACTAGGTTTACAGATTTCTTCTGTCTCATATCTAGTATATTCTAAAAACAATTTAAACTCTACAAAGTTTAATGGAGGAACTCCAGGTTTAGTCCTGTCTGGTGTCCAGAAAAGCCCTGGAATACATGACCGAAAAAAAGGAGCTTTCAAACAATTTCTCTTTTCCCTGGGAAATCACCTGGGGCAGGAAGAACATTACCTTGGTGGCAGAATCCACGGCAGAGCCTCTTCCCAGCAGCTCCTGCACGAGGCCCACATGGCCCTCCTTGGCAGCCAGATGGAGTGCGTTGAGTCCATTCTGCGAGAAGAACAGCAAGGTCTCAGAAGCACGGTAATGGACAGAGAGACGAGACTGACCAGAGAATACACACACTGATCTCTCTTTTTCTTCCCCTTTCTGCATTAGCTCAAATCTATTCAGTGCACATTCATTTATAGCGTTTTTGACTCAGAGAGATGAAAAAGTATTTATTAGAAACATTAATTTTTTAAAAAAGAAACATTAATTTGACAACTTCATTTCAACAAGTTCTTTTTCTTAAAGAAATGTCTAAGTACTTTTCTAATAAGAAGATATAATAGACAATTCTGTATCTTTTATTATGCTGGCTAAAATTAAAATTCTGTCCAGGTCCTGAAATATACAGAGCATTAAATAAATTGTATTTTTAATAAAAGGAAGAGGAATATCCTTCTAAAGTGATTAAAACATAGGACAAGTTTTAAGGTAATATACTGCAATAACACCATAATTAAAAATATATGTAGTATTATGTCCCTGAGTGACCTTTATAAACAAAAAAATTTAATTTATAATATCAGATAGTACTACAACTCCCTCGAAAACTAGTTTCCACAGTGCTGGAAAAACCTCATTTAGCCCACATTACCTAAAATATCTATAAATTCAATGTACACCCTATCAAAATATAAGCTTCTCTCTACAAAAATACAAAAAAAAACAAAACCCTAGAATTTATATGAAACTATAGAAGATCCAAAATAGCCAAAGCAATCTTAAGAAACAAAGCTGGAGACATCACAGTACCTGTTATGGTTTGTGTCTAGTTTTCCCCCCAAAGTTTCATGCAGTCCTGGGGCGGACATGTAGACTTTGTGATTAACTTATGATCTACTGGGATGATGGGTGTGAGTGCTGCTGGGATGATGGGTGTGAGTGCTGC